CATCGACATTTGTGAAGATAGGAGATAGGAGTACTGGGGTTAGTCTGAACTATGTCTAGGAAAGAAACCCAACTAGAACACTGCTGGCTGCTGCCATTCAATAGTCCATCGACCAGCAGAGACCAGCAGCCAGCAGTCCACTAGCAGAGCTGCATTTTGCCAATTTATGATTTCTGTCTGAATGGGGCAAAAGAATCATCAACTGACTGGTGACACTTGGATTAGAGGGACCATACCCAGCTTGACTGATTATTTGCATACACCTTTAAAGTTAATAGAATTTTTATAAGTAGCTTCTATCTTGATGGTCATTACTGGCATCAGGGAAAGTCAGAGCCATCAGTTCAAGCATTCATTGACTACTTCTGCTGCCTGACTTCTGGGAGCCCTGTGGAACTGCACATGCTGGCCTCTTCTGAGGGACAGGAGCATGTGACTCGCTCTCTTAATGAGCTGTCACCAGAAGACTGCCTTCTGGGTGGGCAGATTTCCTCCTGTCTGTCAGATGGAGAAGCTGACACCCTCTCTTACCTGGATACTCATGAGGAATAAGGATCCCAGCGGCCACATCACTGGTTGTATGAGGAGTAAACTTGTCTGACACGATGGTGATGGAGCATTGAGGGACCAGCTGGGAAATACACACAGCAGTGGAGAGCCCTATCACACCCGCTCCAATGACAGCAATCCGCACTGTGTCCATGGCCCTGCAAGGAGGGAAATGGGGCTCAATGCTGGGATGATTCTCTTTGGGCATCTGGCCTTGACTATTCTTCCCTAGGTGGGCAGCCTCACAGAAAAAAATACCCTCCAGCTGGTGTGCCTTGTGGGTTACCTTATAGCAAATGCTCCTTTAAATGCTCCTTCCCCTAAATAACAAGGTTCGTATGGGTGTATAGGTATTCACACAAACAGCCCGGATTTGCCCGTAACATACACCAGTAAATGTGTCTGCATTTAGGGGGAGAATTCTATTCCTTCTCCCCTTTCCTGAGCTTTATTCCCTGGGGACACATGCTGGGGAAGGTCAGAGAGAGAGAGGTAAGCAAGGCAGGGAAAATAGCAGAACTATGGCTTCTGTCCCCAGAACCCACTTCTGTGCCCTGAACCCAGTCCTGAGAGGCAATGGCCCTGAGCAATTTGGAACTGAACTCCTGGCCTTTCTGAACTTGTTTTGAAAGATCATTCATCATCTCGTTTCCTCCCCCACCTTCCCTGCCTCTGTAATGGCCTCCATCACTGCCTCCTCTCGAACTGCAACTCAGCCCTGACCCACCCCCCTTGGACAGCCTTGTCCCGACCCTGTCAGAAGCTGGCTTTGTAACCTACAGAATAACATGTGCCTCATCTGTAAGAGATCAGATAAACTTTGATTACCTCCCTTGGGTGTTGGATAAGAGAGACCCATGAGGCTGCCTGCTAAGGGGCCCCCCACAGTCCCGGCTATGCATCAGGAGCTGGCACTGCATGTGGTAGCCAGAGTGGCTGAGACTTCAGTGCCCTCCCAGCCCTTACCCTGGGCGGTGGGGAGCCACACTCCACACTGTCCTACCTGCCCCCTTGCCTGCCTTGGCCACCCTGTGCATCTTTCCATGTCTACCCCTGCTCTCTGTCTAGCTCTCCCTGTCTGATTCAGGTTCAAGCTCTAGAAAGAAAAAACACAGCTGTTCCAGTTCGTCACCGCCACTCTTTTGGGCAGAGTTCTAGCACCAGGCCAGCTACCTGGGCTAAGTCAGCCTGCGTATCTGCTGCGCTTGGCGTAATCACCCTTCTCCATGCAAGAGCAGTGGTGAGGAAGAGGGGTCACATAGTACAAGCCATGGCACCACACGCAGAGCTGCCCCTTTGCTCAGGAGGGGCTGTGGACAAGGCAAACGGGGTGGGGTCCGGCTCTCAGCGGTTTCTGCCATATGTTCTGGTTCTGATAGTCTGTCGTGTTCTGCAGCTTTAAAGCCTCGCAAGGATATTTAAATTGTGTTATTTCTAATCCTCAAACAGCATATGCATATCCGAGATGGTTCATTTGGGCAGGCTAGCTGAGAAGGAGCGGGACCACAGAGACCGAGGAAAGATGAGAGAAAGGTTCAGCGCCCTCCAGTGGGGAAGACGCGGGGAGCATGGCTCTGTTCCCCTTGCCTTGCGGCAGAGGGCAGACAGCCCGCCCTTGCTAGCTTCACTATTTCACATCAACTTCCCCTTCCTGGCCACATCCTCAAAGTACAGTCGCTCTAATAAATTACCTTGGAAGTGAAAGTAATCTGCAGCCAAGAGTAACCAGCTGCCAGAGGGGAGAGTATTGAGCTCGCAAAATAGGGTATGCGCTGGCACAATGAACTATTAATCTTTTCCTCTTTATCCCACTAACACACACCCTCAATTTCCGGAATGTAGACAGAATGAGTCCTGCACCCAAAGCAGGAGAATTTGAGTACCTGTCTCCAGCAAGGCAGCCTCAGAACACGCCGAAGGCTCTGGCACCAAAACTTGTTTTCCGGTGTCTGGTTGGTTGAGTGCCCTGAGAGACAGAGAAAAAGCAAAACTGCTTCCCATTGGGGAGTTTATTAAGGACATTCCTTCTAATCTTACTCTCCATTGGCCCATGAACTGTGTCTCTGTCACTGATTCCCCAGGAGAAAGGAACAGGTGATCTTATTTTTTAAGCTCCCTGGAGCTGTGTCTCTGCCAAGTCCCTGGGAGCTAGGTTGTCCCCGGCAGCCCTTGCTTGTCTGGCTCTCAAGCCCTGCATCTCTCTCCAAGCCTGGGATTTCTCTAGCTGATTAATGTGTGTACTAAATAATGGGTGGTCTTCCAACATCCAGCAAGTTCCAGCCAGAAGCAGGCATCCCTTATCTCTCTGGACTACGCAGCATTAGCTGCCATCCCCCACTAGATGCCCGGTACTGCTGGTCAGATGTAGAGGGTGGGGCAGACAAATGTGGATCACTCAGATGATGGCCTGATCACAGCTGGAGCACTTATTCAGAAGATAAATTAAAACAGGAATGATGTGCCAAGACAGTAAAGAAGGGTCCAAGATCTCCTCGGTGGTGTGTCTTGGCACTTCACTGCCACCTGTAGTACAGCAGACACCTCTGTCTGGGATTAGCAAGCTATAGGTGGCACGAGCTTCTTTCCCCTCCATAATTTGGCTGTGCTACATTAGAAGTAGCAGGGCCTTCCTGAGTTCATTTCCAGCCAAGGTCAACTGGCTCCAACTAAATTCTTCCCCTCTGAATTAACCATTTGCTCCCTTTTGCATAAGATATACTAGTGCCCTCTTTCTACAGTCCTGCTTATGATAACCGCTATCAGCAGACATCCCGAGGCCTGCCCAGCTCCCTTCTTCCCAAGCTTCTAATGAATAAACACTAGATGTCCTTGGTGTCTTTTGTCTTTGCTGCCTAGAGCAGCTTCTCTCAAGTCTCTGCCTCTGAGTCTTTCGTTCTCACTTTCCTATCTCACAGACGTCATACAATCTCATAGGAAATCCAGACCCCAAACTCCAACTCTCAACCTTGTAACCAAAGCTTGCACTTTGGAATCAGGAGTCCTATCGGTCTAACCTTGAGAGTCACCTAACTTCTGAGTTCATTTTCCCATCTGAAAGATGGATATTAAATGATGTAGATATGTGATTTAATCTTTACATTCCCATAAGGGACATGTGGTTGTGACCCTGAATTTCCAAATAAGAAGGTAGAGGCTGGTTTGTTTAAGTAAGAGGGCTTACAGTCAGGTTTTTTTATTCACTGCCTATGAAGGTCAAGTTAGTTTAAGGGCCTCCATTAGAAAGGATTGAGCTTGGGGATTTGGCTCAGTGGTTCTGGAACCTGTCTCGAAAGTGGAAGGTCTTGAGTTCAGTTCTTAGTACCAAAAAAAAAAAAAAAAAGAAGAAGAAAAAAGAAAGGATTGAGTAACAAGGCTGTTTGCCTGAAGTTAACCTATTTGTATGTGGTTTGTCCTCTGAGCTTTCCAGTGCTGTGGTAAAGTCCTCCTTGAAATATTTACATTCAAAAATAGATCTGAAGTGCTATTGAGTAGGTTCCAACTATTACAGATACACAATATTACTATTTTCCAAGTATAAAATCAAAAGGCTGCACATATTAAAAATCCTCAGGCAACAAAGCACGTGAGGCTTCCGCATGATGAACATTTGTAAACTGTTGCAATGAAAAAGCATAATTATTGTACCACAAAAGAAAGTTTTTTTCCCCTTCATAATCTATACATGTTCCAGTAGGAAGCACAGGAGTCAGAGGGCAGTGATGCGTGCCTCTGATTCTCTGAAGATGAAAAGCAGTTACTCTGAGGCAGGAGTGGACTAAAGTCCAGCTTGGAGGGTAGGAGGGGAAACAAGTTCATGCCTTGATCATGGTGCCCACTCCCCACCTCCCACCTGGAGCCAGGCTGTCTAGGGACTGAGGCAGGAGGAGGGAGAGAGTAAGGTGACCCTTGGAGACAGTCTGGGTTATTAAACAAACCCATAGCTAAGCTATCCTCCTCACTCTGTGTGGCAAAGAGACAACTCCAAGCCAGGCATTCAAAGAAACTGAGAACAGAACAGGGTAAAATTTTATAGTCACACGCCAGTGCTCCTGTCCCCAGAGCTTGCAGGGGAGAGAGATGGTTCCCCCAACACAGACAGTTTTAATAATAGTAATAACAAGCCACCTAGATCTCCCACATACAAAGGATACATGGCACATGGAACACTCAGCACTCCACCCACAATTGTCAGTGGCCTCTCACCGAGGAAGGGGACACCTAGGAGGGCCTAGCAGAAAAAGAACCTCAGCTCTGCAACAAAATCAGAAAACAAGGCAACCCTGTGACTCCTGGGAGCCAGGAGAGAGAAAGTGCGCCCTCTTGTGGTTTCTGTGGGCAGAGCTGACACTGGTAAGAGTTGATCAGAACAGTGGGATAGTGGTCCTCAGGCCTTGTAATATGCAAGAAAAACCAGTGAAGGGAAGCTATGAAGATGTCCATGATATTTAACCTCCAAAGCATTCAAGACAATCAGGCCCACAGGGGTACACATCCAGACCTCAAAACCAGGACACAAATTAGAAGGGAGCTAACTTCAGACAAACAAGGGGAGGAAATTGTGTGGCTAATGAAAATCAAGCAGCGACACCAGTGAAGAGGGAGCTATGTGGAAGAACTGGGTTACAGCTATGGCAACTGTGCAAAGGTTTTTATTTTTGTTTCTATAGTTATTTTGGCAACTGTAGTCATTGTACCTTTGCTAATTTGTTGGATTTGGGCTATTCTGGTTGGTTTTTTGTTGTTGTTTCTGTTCTTTTTTTCCCTTTCTTTCTATTCTTTGTTTTCATTTTTTTTTAATCTTTTTTGTTTTGTTTCTCATTTGTTGGTATTGGATGATTACAATGCTGTAAGTTTTGAACAATTCCATTCGACCTGCACCCTCTTTCAGTGTGACTTCCCTCCTAGCCTTTAATCCTTTCTCCTCCTTATCCTTAGTCCTCCCCTACCCCTCACATCATCTTCTTGCCTCCTCCCAACTCCTCTCTATCAATCTAATAGCTTAAACTTATAGAGGAGACTGTAGAAGTAACATTAGAGAATAATTAACCAGTGCTGTGAATTAAATAGTACCATTTAGGAGCATATTAAGGCAATCTTGAACAAAATTGGACTTAGAGGAGCCAAACAAAACTATCAAAAAAACCTATTAACAGGTGCCAGCAATCTCAGTCTCCTTCAATCTCTAAATGTATCACCACCCATCTGCAGATATCCTCTTGACCATGCAAATATTCTTCCAAGCTAACCCCCTACCTACCCTTTATGCCAGCTATAAAATAACTACAGGAGTCTAACTTCCTACATATTTGTGTTAAATATGTACTACTGACATGTCTTTTATCTTCCTCTCTTCCCACTAACATACCTCCTTCCCTTTACTCTTCCTCCCTACCACCCCATACCTCACATATCCCAGCACAAGACAGTCTGAAAAGGGTATTAACAAAAGCGTAAACTCTCCGGCCACCTACTCGGGCCCACCCGGAGGGTCCGTGACCTCCCCCACTGCGTGCCACCAGCTCCAGCAAGGAAGGTAGCCAAGCACCCCCATGACCTGACCCCCCCATTCTCAAACCTCCAGATTGGGCCAGTCCTTGGAACCACTCTGCAGAGGCATAGGTGGTCATGAAGGGCATTTTTCTGAGCTCCCAACTTTGAACATCTTTAAGGAAAGGGCAGGGGAAACCTGTAATAGAACTGAGTGGAGTTCAACCCTGTGTGTTGGGAAACTCAATTTGGACCTTGTGGCCTGAGATCAGTCTGAGTCATGGGGACCTGCCATTGGCTAGCTGAGATCAGGGGATTTGGTTCTGCACATGGCTGTACATGTGGTATAATATGACAACAGAGACATCTGAAAGAGGCCCTTCAAATTCTTTTTTTTCTTTTCCTCATTCCACCCTGCAATTTCTTTCTTTTTTCTGTCCTCTTTCTCCACCTCAGTCTCTTGCTCCACCATATTATCCCTCATCTCCTTTTTTATTCCTGCTCCTGCTCTAACTCAGACTTCTTCTTTTATCATTTTTTCTTTTTTTTTCTTTATGTTCTTTTCCCCTGTCATTTTACCTCACTCAAAGCTCTGTAGCTTCAAGGGAAGGTAAGACCTTGTTACTGGTAAGGGGATATATTCTTGTCCTTATTCTTGCACTCTGTCTATCCCCTTTGAAGTTAATAATTTCATAAAGATTGTATGGTCATTCTACATCCTCTGGCTTCACTTGAAACCTTCTCCAATTCTTTCACTTATCTACTCCTCTCGTCCTAACTCAGTCTAAGCCCCGATCCTAAATGGTAAAGATGCTATATTGAAAAGCGTATTCACTGCAAACATATTTTGGGCTGCCTCTTGATATTAACTTAATTCACATGGTTTAAAGGTGATAGATTAATGATTACCACAACTGACCAATTTGCAAGCTGTGCTTGATCCTATTGGGCTGCTGAATGTATCAATTGGGATAAGGATTGTGAATGATTTAGTGAGTTGTTTTCTCTGATATTATGAAAATGAGGATGTCCATGAGTCATAAGAGATTCAAAAGCTAAAGCACAACTACATCAGAAAGATTTAAGTAATAACCCAGAAATTAAACCAAGGACAACCCAACAACAAAAATAAAAATGAGAAAACACTTAAGCAAGACACAAAGACAGACTTCCATTTCACCAATGGCAAACAGTAGGGCAAAGGAGGATGAAAAGTCTGATAGTCAACCAACAGGACATCCTGGACCCATAGCACAGGAGGTAACAAAACAGATCAATCAGGCCCTAGAAAAATTCAAATCAGAAATAATTTCCCAGTTAACCATAGAGATGGTGAGCAAAATGGAAGTCATGATTCGAGAATCTAGAACAGAAACTGACAAAAAAATAGATGAGCTCAGGACCATGATAGAAGCCATGATGACTCAGCATAAGAAAGAAATGGAAACAATGAATGCACAAGAGAGGAAAGAAATGGAA